TTTAAGTAGCGAGGGATGGAGTTTTATTGCCGGTTTATATCATTTCCAGTTTGGTTGAATCCGGATAAGATATCTCATGCTAAAAGGTATGGCGAGATGCTGCGCTTTACGAGAATTGGGGCGCCGTGTGTGTACGTATGTATGTACGTATGTATGTATGTATGTATGTATGTATGTATGTATGTATGCGAGAAAGAGAGAAAGGGATAGTTAGTGAGAAAGAGAGAGAGAGGAAGGGATACTGAGAGAGAGAGAGAGAGAGAGAGAGAGAGAGAGAGAGAGAGAGAGAGAGAGAGAGAGAGAGAGAGAGAGAGCGCCTATCCTTTAGTCAACACTACCCACAGAAAGAGACGCACATCTACCCCTTCATGTAAACTCAGCGCCACACCCAGATCCCCCCCCCCCCCCTCTGTGCCGTTCATTCAGGATTCTCTCTCGGGCCCATTCCTCTACGTCGGTTGCACGGTTGCACTATTGCACGCGCGCCCACGTCGATGCCCAGTCATCCTGCAGGAAGTCTTTTGCGCGTAATTCTTTCCTGTGACGCGATGGTTGTAAGTCTTGGTGCATCGATTGGGGGTAATAGAGGGAGGGAGGGAGGGATAGGGATGGGGAGAGAGGGAGGGAGGGAGGAGGGAGAGGGAGAAATAGGAATAGCGATGGGGAAGGGGGGAAGAGAGGAGGATGGGCGGGATGGAGGAGGGAGAGGGAGGAATAGGAATAGCGATGGGGAAGGGAGAAAGGAGGATGGGTGGGATGGAGGAGGGAGAGGGAGGAATAGGAGCAGGGATGGCGAGGGGGGGAGAGAGGAGGATGGATGGGATGGAGGAGGGGAAGGGAGAGGGAGGAATAAGGATAGGGAGAGGGAAGGAAGGAGGTTGGGAGGGATGGAGGTATAGGGATAGGGAGGGAAGGAGGGAGGGATAGAAATGGAGGAGGAACGAAGGAGGAGCAGAGATGGGGGTAAGGGTTGGGGAAGAGGAACGTTTAGGGAAGAGTTAGAAAGGCGAGAGGATAGGGAAGAAGGAATAGGAATCGTGTATTAGACAGACAGAAAGACAGACAGACAAGTAGACAAGCCGATAGACAGAGAGAGACGGAGAGAAATAGGAGTGAGGGGAGACAACTGGGCAAAGGTGGAGTTCCATTGGAATAAATGTACATGTGTTTGTCCGGTGTCGCCGTGACCACGTGAGATCGGTGTGTCCAGCACGTGGGGGCGAGTTGGGGTCGGGATGTTGCCCTTTGGTGGAGGGGGAAGGGGGGGGAGGGTTGAAGAGGGAAGGGGGAGAGGAAGCAGGGGTGAATGGAGCGAGAGGAACGAGGGAGAGGGAGAGGCATTTTGGATGGTAGAAAGTTTGGATCAGGCAAGGGAGGAAGAGAGATAGAGGGAGACAGGGAGAGAGAGGGAGACAGGGAGAGAGGGAGAGAGAGAGAGAGGAGAGAGAGAGAGAGGAGAGAGAGAGAGAGGGAGAAGAGAGAGAGGGAGAAGAGAGAGAGGGAGAAGGAGAGAGAGAGAGAGAGAGAGAGAGAAAGAGAAAGAGAGAGAAAGAGAGAGAGAAAGAGAAAGAGAGAGAAAGAGAGAGGGAGAGGGAGAAGGAGAGAGAGAGAGAAGGAGAGAGAGAGAGAGAGAATGAATGGCGAGAAAATAAAAAGTCGACGGTCTGGTCAAACATTCCTCTGTTATTCATTCTACTTCCAGGATCACATACAAAAAAAGGAAAAGAAAACAAGATGGCGATGACATGAAAAGCCCAGGCAAAGGAAGTGAACAAAAAAAGAAAGAAAAAAAAGAAAGGAAAAGAAAGAAATAAGAAAAGAAAAAAGCGAAAGAGGAACGAGAATCGTACCCAATGACTCCCCTCCTCGCGACACCCCCCCACCCCCCATCCTCAGTCCCCCTCTCTCCCCTCCCCCATCCTGCTCCCGCTTCCAATTTAGCGGCGTGGGAATGGGGGAGAGAGAGGAGGGGGGGAGGGGGGCTAAGGACGACTTGGGGGGGGCTGGAGGGGGAGGCAGGAGAGAGGGGAGGAAGGGGAAAAGAGAGACTCGGGATGCACAAGGAAAAGGAAAGAGGGTGATGGTGGGGGGGGGGGGGATGTAAGGGAGGGAGGGGAACATCAGCGGGCGAAAGGTATGGGTGACTTCTTTATTTTATTTCCCATCATGTTACCCATTAACCTTTGGCTTATCGCCGCCCGTAAATGAAAGTTGCTGCGTAAACGGGCGGCGCAGTGGGCGTCGGAGGGCACGGGGGGGTGGGAGGGCGGGGGGTTGTGTGGCGGGGGTGGTATATGTGGTGCTTTGATTGGCTTTTCTTTGTTGTTTTGTTTTTGTGTCTTCGTTTTGTTGCGTGTTGTGATCGTGTTTATGGTCTCGTCTCGTCTCCCTTTCTCTTTTATCACTTTCCCCCGCACTCCCACTCCCTCTCTCTCTCTCTCTCTCGCTCTCTCTCTCTCTCTCTTCTCCTCGTCTCGCTCCTCTTTCTCTCTTCCTCTGC